GTTGAAAATAGTAGTTTTTTATATTGTAAAAATGAACTTTCGTTGCCATTTTCTACAAAATTAACGATACCGGCTTGTGTTTCGGTACATGTTTTGGTCTATTATCAACATATTTAAAAAATTTAAAAAATACAATAAGATGACAGACATATTCAATTAAAAAACCCTGGGTTTATTTTTTAACAAAATGTCACAAATAGTCGTAAAAAAAATAAAAACTGATGCACATTTTTTCACATATTTTGGTAATACGGATGAATCATAATCTATTGCAATAAGGGCTATTTTATTGTTGGTGCCTGCTTTGATTTATTGTACAAAGATTTCGATGAAACCACAGTCCGCGCTCGGCCGCCGTCGTGAGTGGACATTGTATCGCCTGTTTGCAGCGGCTCATTCTGAAAAGATCGCTGTACATACACAAAATATTAGAAAAAAACAAATTGGAAACATAAGTACTTGACAAGTGATAAAATTATTATTTTTATACTCACAGTTTTTTATTTAGCTAAAAATAAGTAGAATATATAAACTTACCTACTACTGCAACTCCTGGACGAGCGGAACTAGGTGTGCCGAGTTTGGGCTCGTTTTGTTGGTTATGATGAGACCTTACCTCCGGACTTGATGGCGTGACCTGAAGGTGTACTTTCGTGACCGCTATTTGAACTTCTTGCAGAGTAAAACTAGGGGTGGCGAATTTGGGCTCCGTTTTGTTAGTTATGACGAGTCCATACCTCCGGACTTGATGGAGTGACCTGAAGGTGTAAATCGGTGATTGCAACTGGAACTCCTAGACTGGTAGAACTAGGTGTGCCGAGTTTCGGTTCGTTTTGTAGGTTATGATGAGACCTTACCACCGGACTTGATGGAGTGACCTGAAAGTGTAGTTCGGTGATTACAAGTGGAACTCCTAGACTTGTAGGACTAGGTGTGCCGAGTTTGGGTTCGTTTTGTTAGTTATGATGAGACCTTACCACCAGACTTGATAGATTGACCTGAAGGGGTCATTCAGTAACTACTGCTGGAATTTCTGAACGAGTAGAACTAGGTATGCCGAATTTGGGCTTCGTTTTGTTAGTTATGACGAGTCCATACCTCCGGACTTGATGGAGTGACCTGAAGGTGTAAATCGGTGATTGCAACTGGAACTCCTAGACTGGTAGAACTAGGTGTGCCGAGTTTGGGTTCGTTTTGTTAGTTACGATGAGACCTTACCACCGGACTTGATTGAGTGACCTGAAGGTGTAATCAGGTGGTTACAAATGGAACTCCTAGACTAGTAGAACTAGGTGTGACGAGTTTGGTTTCGTTTTGTTAGTTACGACAAGACCTTACCACCGGACTTGATGGAGTGAAATTCGGCACACCTAGTTCTACTGGTTCAGAAATTCCAGCAGTAGTTACTGAATTACCCCTTCAGGTCATTCCATCAAGTCTGGTGGTAAGGTCTCATCATAACTAACAAAACGAACCCAAACTCGGCACATCTAGTCCTACAAGTCTAGGAGTTCCACTTGTAATCACCGAACTACACCTTCAGGTCACTCCATCAAGTCCGGTGGTAAGGTCTCATCATAACCTACAAAACAAACCCAAACTCGGCCCACCTAGTTCTACCACTCTAGGAGTTCCAGTTGCAATCACCGATTTACACCTTCAGGTCACTACATCAAGTCCGGAGGAATGGATTCGTCATAACTAACAAAACGAAGCCCAAATTCGGCACACCTAGTTCTACTCGTTCAGGCATTCCAGCAGTAGTTACTGAATTACCCTTTCAGGTCACTCCATCAAGTCTGCTGGTAAGGTCTCATCATAACTAACAAAACGAACCCAAACTCGGCACACCTAGTTATACCAGTCTAGGAGTTCCAGTTGCAATCACCGATTTACACCTTCAGGTCACTCCATCAAGTCCGGAGGTATGGACTCGTCATAACTAACAAAACGGAGCCCAAATTCGGCACACCTAGTTCTACTCGTTCAGAAATTCCAGCAGTAGTTACTGAATTACCCCTTCAGGTCACTCCATCAAGTCTGGTGGTAAGGTCTCATCATAACTAACAAAACGAACCCCAAACTCGGCACACCTAGTTCTACTAGTCTAGGAGTTCCACTTGTAATCACCGAATTACACCTTCAGGTCACTCCATCAAGTCCGGTGGTAAGGTCTCATCATAACCAACAAAACGAACCCAAACTCGGCATACCCAGTTCCACTAGTCTAGGAGTTCCTGTTGTAATCACCAAATTACATCTTCAGGTCACTCCATCAAGTCCGCAGGTAGGTAAGGTCTTATTATAACTGACAAAACCAGTTCAAAGTCCAGAGCTAACATCTCACTACCGGTAGAGGGCTTCCAGTGCCAAGCAGTCTTTGGAGCAGGTATTCATATTTCGTATCGAAGTATATTTCTGAGGTAGGTATAAGAAATGAAAAACAAATTCAATCTTTCAAATTATCAAAATAATTTCATTTGACTACGATTCCCACAGCCAACCGTGCGTACACTAGTGTGTGTGTGACTTTTGTCAATGTAGTAGTGCGATTCTATACCTATCCATTTTGTAAACGCGTCCTTAATCTACACCGTGCTTAACTCCGATCATTCATTGTAAGCAAATGTATCTGCGTGTACACATTAGGTATATATCTAGTTACGTCTGGATACATTTTCAACCCGGTTTTGGTACGTGTTGAAACCATGCTATAGTGCATCATGGCTGCAGACGAATAGTTCGGCTCAACCAGGGAATGACCACACTCGCACCATGCACTGGATACTAAATAATAGTGTTTCGTATGGTGAATGATCCAGATATTTTTTTATAGAATAAGAGTGACGTACGAGTACACATATCCTACATGATGGTAAGTGGATTCTGCGGCCCATAGTCATCTACACTTACACACGACTAAGAATAAAATTGCAGATGCGTTGTTTCCCCTGAGTACTAAGATCATAGATTAGTGCATATATACTAAGATGGAATGCCTCGTTACCAATAAAAAGGGGTCATATACCGGTAAAGTGACGTTCTATTTTAGTTTTCAGGTTTGACAACACAATTGCATTTCGATTCTTAATCAAGGATAGATTTAGGTGTCTAAGTAGCACGGCAATTAGCGTTAGGACACGGAGTAGGTGTTCTTTTGTAAGCCTCAATTTTATAAAAAAATCACTTACACTGGCAACTCTATATCTCCAGTATGTACTATAGATAGGTAGTTAAATACATCAATTTTATAGATTCTATTTTTTGCCTGACTTAAATGTTTTGTAGTAACTATGATTAGGTTGCGTGAGGGAGGGATAACTAAAGTGTTTGACGTAGTCAGTCAGGCATATAAATGACGACCTAGTAAGACGCAGGAAATCAATGGATACAGGTGGCTCAGGACGATGCTATGTGACATTCCTATATTAAGCAATGGATGAAAATGTTGATGATGAAAACGTATTATTCATATTTTGATTTTCATTACTACTACGCGTTTGCGAGTACAGAGAGCGATATATTATGTTAGTACCTAATTTGAATAATCGTATTTTATATTTAAATAAAAAGTAGATACCTACACAAAAGTATAAAATAGTAAAAGTTACATTAAAACATTCATCCCCATATTTCCACTTTGAACACAGTGTACATAAATTCCACAATATTGTTTTTTCTTTAAATTTATATGGGACCACCCCATCGTCGTTTCAGCTGTTTCCGAGAAATCGTGTTCAGAGTTCATTCGTGAACTTAAATATACGAGTACAAAACCCAGCGAATCTTCTCATTTTTTTTGAATTCGGTTAAAAGCGATCAAAATAAAGCACTCTTGTGGTATTAGTTTTATTATTCAGCATTTTTACTTTATTATTTTTTATAGAATAAGGGTGACAAACGAGCACACAGTCCACCTGATGGTAACTGGATGCTGTAGTCCATAGACATCTACATTTATACTCAACTAAGAATCAAAACGCAGATGAGTTGTCACCTCTGACGACTAAGATGGAATGCCTCGTTTCGTGTAAAAAAAAGGTTCTCCGGATCTCTACACTCACCATACGAAACACAGCAAGTATTAGGCTGCTATTTCACGCTGGTATTCTGGGAGGGCGTGGTCCTTCCTCAGGTCGAGCCGACCCATTCGTGCTACAATCATAATATATTACACTTTCAAGAAGATATTTACATAATATGAAAAACATAAGAAACGATATAAAAAAGCTGTGAATAAAAAAGGATGTATTAAAAAAGTGAAATATACTTATAATTTTACTATGTACCTATGACGGGATAATAATGAAAAATATATCTATGAAGTTGTGACAAAAACTTATAACGACTGCAAGTCAATATCAGGTATACCTACTTATAATTTTTCAGAAAGAGCGTTGAAGCATAATATCTTCTGGTACCTAATTTTTATCGCTTAGAAGGGTTCACCAACCTTAAAACCTTGTTACTACCATTTTTTAAACCTGTTGAGATATGTGTTAGTAAATAAGAGATTAAGTAATTAATAAGTTTATCTGTTGGTATTTATCCTATTTAAGAATTTTGTTGTAACTGGCGACATAATCGCTTTAGCGGCAAAGCCCTTTTTCTATATATAAATATATAAAACTTGTGCAGAGCTTTTTTAGTTTCAAGAGGGATTTCATTCCAGAGTAAGTATGATAGCCATGAGAGCGGAAGAATAAGAAATCTTAATGTTATACAAAGATTATTTGACTTAAAATATATCATACTGTACCAATAAGTTGGGTTAAGTGGCTGATAATAAAATGTGTGTATAAAAGGCCATGGACTTATCGAAATATCATAATATTTACTTCACCTCTAGCCCGAAGTTATCAGTTGCTGGAACGAGCAAGCGAATAACGTGTTGGCATTCCCGCTATATACTCGTTGACGTCAGGCTCGGGCAATATTACCGTAAACGTATCAATTAAAAGCCAGTTTCGTGTTGGTCTCGGCAGTGCCGACCCGTCATAATGGCTAACAGAATTTTATTGTGCCTGTTGATAGTGTGTGTGGCGACAGACTTAACATATTGTAAGTTTGGAAGAAGCGGCGGCCGAAGCTCCGGAAGATCAAGCTCTAGTGGAAGAGGATGGGGATCGAGCAGTAGCCATTCGAGCTATAAGCCTTCGTCTAGTTATAGCTCTGGTTCAAGCTGGAGTTCCGGTTCTAGTTGGAAGCCATCGTCAAGTTATGGGCACAGCTACCCATCTTCGTCTTCAGGACTATCAGGTTCCGGGTCTTATAAACCTAGTTATCCATCGTCATCATCAGGTTTGTCTGGTTGGAGTAAGCCTAGCTACCCATCATCGTCGTCAGGACTATCAGGTTCCGGGTCTTATAAACCTAGTTATCCATCTTCATCATCAGGTTTGTCTGGTTTTGGTTGGAGTAAGCCCAGCTACCCATCATCTTCGTCAGGACTATCAGGTTCCGGGTCTTCTAAACCTAGTTATCCATCGTCATCATCAGGTTTGTCTGGATTTGGTTGGAGTAAACCCAGCTACCCGACTTCATCGTCGGGCCTTTCTGGTTCAGGATCAAGTAAACCCAGCTACCCTTCTTCATCATCGGGCCTTTCTGGTTCAGGATCAAGCAAGCCCAGCTACCCTTCTTCATCTTCAGGGCTTTCTGGCTCAAAGCCCAGTTACCCATCATCATCGTCTGGATCATCTGGAAGCCGACCTTGGTATCCGACGTCGACAGGGCTGTCTGGATCGGGAACATCAGGGAGTTATGGTACAAATAATTACAAACCTTCATATGATACTTCTTATCACCCCAGCAACACCTACAATACACACAGCGTTTATGGATCAGGGTCGTACAATCATGGCTATGGCGGTAATACACATACAACGTATATTATTCCTCCAAATTATCATGCGCACCCACAGTATGTCTACGTTAATGAATACCGGAATTCAGGAAGCCGTTTTGGAGATGTATTAACTGGTTTGACATTGTACAACATGGGGCGTTCTCACAGCCACTACCACGATCATTATTATTACGATGATTACTATAGAAGCCGCTATAATTCACCCAGTGGAGGATACAGCACCAACAGTTATACACATAGTGCGTCTCCTAAAGATGAAGCTACCTGCACATTAAGAATTAAAGAAAACGAAAAATTAGAAGTATTAAAGATACCATGTGCAATCGTCTCAACATTTGTAGAAGACGGAAATCGTTCAAACTACACACAAACACAAACGCAATCTACTACTTGTATTACACAAGTTACTATTACAAATGACAATAAAACAGAAATACCAGCAAATGCTTCAATTAATATTATAAGCACTACAACATTATCTTCCAACATCTCTCAAGAATCTACAACACATTCTTCTATTATAGGTCAAAATTCTACAGAACAAGCATCTATAGCTCCCGTTAACTCTACAGAAAAATCGTTTACTTCACAAAACTTTACAACTACAGCTCCCGTAGATTCTCAAAACATTACAGTACTGGGCATCATTATACCTCAAAACACTTCCATGCAAACTTCAGTTTCTTCTCAAAACACTACAGCTAATGCTTCTGTTATTTCACTGAACTCTAAAATGTCCGCAACTGGTAATATTACAATGGTGAACACTACATCATGCACAACAGTTTCAAATACTACCGATCCTCTTAAGGTCAAGGGTCCTCCAGTGAACGCAAAGAACATGGAATGTACAGTTGATATTATGACGAAAGATCATCGTATAAGAAATAAAATCGATTGCAATATTTTATTACAATATGCTAAGATGCCTGAAAATAATGAAGTAATAGAAACGGGGAGCGCTGTTTTACCATCGAGAAGTAAAATGAAATCATGGCTCGCTAACCCTCCTTGGTGGCTGTCATTATTTATTGCAGTGTAAATAGTTAGCGAAATAAGAAAAAAATACGCTTGATACTCTATAACAAGTAATAAAATAAGATAGGTACTAGTTTAGACAGATAGCCCACATATTCATGTACAAACCTTTGACGTGTTTAACTCCATGTTTATGTTATTTAGATAAAAGTAAGATTTTTACTGTCTCTGAGTAATTATATAAATACAAAAATAAGTGTTTTGTTATCAATGTTAACAATGTAACAATAATTAGCTCTTAGTTATGAGATAAATTGTATTTGCAAAACTTGTTTAAAAGATGTACATGAAATGTATAGTATATATTATTGTTTAAAATCCCAATTTAATATCTTTGTGGCCCACATCTCAGAATAAAATGAAAATTATTAAAATACATGTGAAAATTTTATAAATTATGTAATAAATTTTTTTAATATACCAATTTTCTTTTTCTCATACTTTTACATTGCCATTCGATTCTATATTCTATATTCAAAGTTCTGTCTGTAGCTCATTGAGAAATTAGTTTAAAATCAATTACTAAATTGGACCAAAACGGACATCAAATATGTAATTAATATAGAGTAACTTCATTGAGTCTATCTTGAATGTTTATACCAATTAGGTTTGAGTTCATTTTCCTCATTCAACAAATGACTGCAGATCAACAAATATGCATATCTTGAAAATACTCATAAAAAACAGTGAATTTACGACATAAAAGAAAGGTAAGCTACAAAAGTTAAACAATCAAACAGCTTGGGCTTTTAATCATTCATTTTCTTGGAGAAGACAGAAAGTCTACTTGAATTAAACAGGAAATGTCAATTGAGTAAGAAATGTTACATTTTATTATAATACTAACACTTGGTACTTATATATACAGATACTTGCTGTGATTGATATTTAAAGCCAGGACCTATACATACATAGGAAGTTTGCTGGTTTGCTACCCACTTAGACATCCATCTATCCATTACAGCCTACAAGTCCTCTGGTAAACACATGTGTCTTCGCTATAGATTGCTTTATGAATGGGATTTTACCATTGTTGCGCACTTGGCAGGCTGCTTAGCAACCGCAGCTTTTTATTAATTTAAAAAAAAAATCATTCCCCCTACACTAGTATTTTCTCCTGACATATTGCACAAGGACAAACATCCAGACCCAAAATAATTACTTATAGGCCATACAAATACTTGTTCCATGAGGGAAACGAACCCGTGGCCCTCAGCGCTATAACTTATAGCTAAGCTACTGCATCATGGAGCATGATTTATATACTCCACGGTACAACCGTTAGCCGCACAATTAACAAACAAAATACGCGTTTAGATGTGGAGTTGCAGAAATGAGCCCATCGTAAATTAAACTAAACTAGCCGTACAATTGTGAATGATTGTAACTGAAAATTTTGTTTTGGTTATTTAAGATTTAAGTATTGGGTATCAAAGCTTGTTTATTGATATGGATGGGATGTTTCTTGGAGTTCAATTACTAAGCAGGAGAGCAGAGTACTAAAAAATATATGATGATGCATTCTTTCATCCAGGCTGCACTCACAAATCTAGATATTCAGTATGTTTAGTTTACCTTTAAATAAACAACATACTTACATAGTTGATTGAGCTAAGCTATGTAACATTTCTAAATTTAAAAAAACATGGAGTAACGACAACGTCAAGTTTTTTCCAAACTAAAATTTAAAATATTTATATTTATCATATTTTTACACCAGAAATTTGGTCACAAGTATAACCTGCAAAGTCTGTAAGTCTTTAATTGGAAGTTGCAAAAATGTCGGTACTTTCAATTCATTTTTGTACAATACGTTGCTATGACTTGATAAACGAATGCATAAAGAGCATCTTTTAATATAAAAATAGTCTTGAAATATTTTGAAAATAACTATGACAGAAGGGGTTATAATAAGGCATAAAACTTTAAAATATGACTTTAAAATATTTTTTATAAAAAATGAATAATATAAGATAGGTAATTTAAGAATTACCTATGATATGTAATAATCATATATTATCAATTTCATGTTTAAATTCTATAAACAAAATAGCATCAATAGTTAATAAAATGGTTCATTAAATATAAAATATACAAAACTATATTTTGATATCTCTTAAATAAAATAAATACAGAAGACAATCTCTGTGAGCCCAATATCTAGTATTAGCACAACTAGAGTGTAAGGTGTAGCTTAGAAAGACGAGAATAACAATTATTGAAATACCTCAATATTAGGTGCATAAATCACTAAGTAATAAACTGCCTACCAAACGTAAGCTTAATAAATGGTTGCATTTAACTGGCAAATAATAGTTGGAGACCATGATGAGATGAAAGCTCTTACGTTATGGCATAAACACTAGAGCTGGATTTTATTTAAGCGCTGAAGTACTTGTTTAGTAGTGTTCTAGGTCAAACTACATTATTATATTATGGCACATTCCTTCTACGAAAAAAAAAATGCTTAAAATCATACGATCTGCAGATATAATGAATATTCATATTTACATTTCTCAGTTCATTTAAGTGAAACAGAAAAACTAACTCAATATTTCATTAAACATTGAACATTTGATAAGATTGTACGAAAAAAATTAGGAATAATAAACTATTTACATTATTAAAGTCACAAAGATAAAGAATGACATTGACAATACATAATAAATAATAATGACAGTCTGACAGTTTACAAAATTTGACAGTGCTGCCAGTAGAGTCGACATATTTAATACCGCTGGATCTCTGAAATTATACAAAACCAAATCTTATTGTACAAACCTGATGAGAAACATATAGATCTGTAGAAAAGTCGTGTCTTCTAAAAAGTAAAGTAAAGTTACAGCCTATATACGTCCCACTGCTGGGCTCAGGCCTCTTCTCATTTCTGAGAGGGTTTAGGGCAAGGAAGTGTTCGCCGCGCTGCCCAAATGCGTGTTGACGAACTTCACATGTCCTCGAAATATTTTTTTTTCTTATTCCTCAGACATGCAGGTTTCCTCACGATGTTTTCCTTCACCGCCGAGCTCGTGGTAAATCAGCACTTAAAATTGCAATTAACAATTTCATTGGTGCCGGCGGGGATCGAACCCGGGTTACTCGCGTTCTGTTATATTTACAGCAAGCGTTAACCACTGAGCTACCACGGCTCTTCTTCTAATATTTCCTGGAAATTAAAATGGTCCAGGGGACTAAATAAAGGACACTGAAGCCAAATTAGCGGTTATTAGCATTTTTTGTGTCTGTCTGTCAGTCTGTGTATTAACAATTGACGCAAGAACTACTCAACTGCTTTCCATGAAATATTGTATGAAGATGTAGTTAATGATCCGGTGCAACTTATAGGCAACCTTTTATTCGAAGAAGGGTTAAATATTTTACTTCCCTTTTTAGATTAATTTCCTATTATAAGTATATGATTCCGTTAGAAATCATAAAATGCAAAAATTGCCTTCAGGTACAAATAAAATATGATAAATAATATACTTTAATATATCTAAAATGATTTGAAAATTATAACTTTAATTTCTCAGTACTTTCGTTAATTCTTTTTAACAGACTTATCATTTAAGTAGATGATCGTTTTATTACTATGCAAAAATATAAATAAACTGATTAAACTGTTCTGCCTGCGATTCTTGCAAAATTCTCATTATTCCTATAGTTTAAATAAAGCGGTTTTTATTTAGGTTATGGGCAGATGGTAAAATTGACCATATCATAAAGTAGTCAATCATTTCATAAATAAACCATTTATAAGTATACGATATAATAAAATAATAAATATAATTGTACTGAATACTTATTATTTCAGCTTCAAAATAGTCAGACTTGAATATTCAGTCCGGAGGATACTATCAAGATGGTGTACAGTAATTGCCACGCTTAGCAAAATTACTAAACTAAGCTGTTATACTGGCTACTGTGTGCACAAAATAGTGATTAAGAGAGAAGTTCTTTAGTTGAATAAATTGGGTGTCTATCGACATAGTAATAATTTCACAAACATAATTTTGTATAAATATTTTAATATATGGTGATTCCAAGACAATTAACCTTTCATAATGGGAACATGGGAAGACAAGCCGCTATAAAAAGTAGTAGGTGTTGCTATGCGTATGCTATTAATGCTATTCTTACACGCTCTAAGCTCACTTATGTGTCCCTGTAGCATATTATATCCATGATAAGTTTCAATTGTTTACGTGCTACAGTCTTTGTGAATTTAAAAAAAATCCTGTGCCTAACAGACACAGAGATACAAAGACTGAAGTGAATCTACAAGTGATACAGTTTTGCTAATTCTGACATGGAGCAATATTAATATTGTTCCTAAATAGAAATCCATACAAGCTAAGCCGCGGGTAAAGACTAGTTATTATATGTCTATCCTTTATGATAAGCACTTAGTGTATATAGTAAAACAATATTATATTAACGAGTTGAATTATAGTAGGCTTTCGAATTTATAAATAAACAGTTCATACCGCAGATGGCATAAAATAGTCACTTATACTTTTAATACTAACATAAAGATAAAGATAGGATTATATTTAAAAAAAAGCTACTGCTTATCATCAATTATTTAGGAACATTTAATCTCTCGATCTCGATGCTTTAACGTTGGCGAACTTACGAAATGAACGCAATGTAGAAGGAATTCATAATTCTTCGCAAAATTTTATTTAAATTTTTTTATTCTTCTTTTTGTATCGAATTATACAAAGTAATTTGATATACAAACAGATTACGTAAGATTACAATTTTGTACCAATTGCGTATGAAATTATTACTTCTGGCAGCCCTGTATTTTGAGTTTTCAACAATGTTGCAAGCACCTGTATTTCTCCCCTCAAGCTTTCACAATTTACATGTAGTATATAACAAAAACTGAAGCAGATTTTGAAGTAGTTTTATTTATATAGGTGGAATACCACTGACTGACTGACTCATCACGAGGTCTCTAAAACTATACACCCGATAGACTTGAAATTTAGTATAGTTACTCATTTTGCAGTATAGACGTTCATTTAGAACGGATTTTAGTTCATTTATTATTTATATTTATATTTTATATTTATTTATTATTTATATTATATCCATTATTAATTCGTTAACGTAAAAAAACAACATGCAAATTGGTTGCAGTAAACTAAGAAACTGAGGTTTCGTTTATAAAAGTGGGGGCAAACAGGCATGGTTGCTGATTTGATGTTAAGTGACTACCGCTGCCCATGTAAAACTGCAATAGCAGGGAAATCGCAGGTACGTTGTCAGCCTTTTTAAAAGAAGCAGGCCCTTTTCTTGAAGGTTTTATGTCGTATCGGTCCGGAAAGATCTTTGTTCATAGCCGATTCCATAATGAAGTATGTAGTACCAGGAAGAAAACTTCAGTAAAATTTAAAAAAAATAACAAAACTCTCCTCCTTAGTTATAAAAAGTTCAAAATTTAATATATTATAGTTATAATTGTGATTTAAAGCATATTAAACTAAATTAAAAAAGTTAATAAAAATGAATATTCGGCTAATTTCAATTTATATTAATGGCAATTAAGATAGATGCGTCACGCGACGTGCGTCTTGCGCCATTTTACTTACTTTGTTTACCAATTGTAGAACGTGAATTGTGAAATTGTGGATCACAGCTGACTTCAGTTTAGTGCGCACGAGTCCTGATGTGTTACGTGTATTTTGTTATTATTTTTTTGAATGCATTAAAATACCTGTGAAATGTTCCGATATTTTAAAATACTGTGTCTTGCACTTATAGTGCTCAGTGTATTCGATACAGTGAGAGCAAGAAAATCCTCTGGTGGAAGGCACAGCTACCCTTCGTCTGGTGGCCTTTCAGGTGGTGGCCGCCATCACTATCCGAGTTCCGGAGGACTTTCTGGAAACAGTCATGGGTATCCATCATCAGGGAACAGCCACGGGTATCCCGCTTCAGGTGGGCTATCAGGTTCAGGAAGCCATGGATATCCATCGTCTGGTGGAAGTCACGGATATCCTTCGTCAGGAGGAGGAAGTCATACATACCCATCATCGGGAAATAGTCACGGGTATCCTTCAGGTGGGCTATCAGGTTCGGGTAGCCATGGATATCCAGCAGGCAAGGGACTTTCTGGTTCCAATACTGGACACACAACCAATGTGCATTACCACTATAACTACAGCCCCCCTCAAAGAATCTCATACACGCCTGTGCATGGGGGACCTCCGATGAGCTATCCAGTGTATCATGGCCCCCCTCCAACCTACGTGTACAATTATAAGAATTCCGGCAGCCAATATGGTACATTGCTCGCTGGTTTGGCGCTGCTTAACCTTGGAACTCTCGCTGGCAGTGTTTACGCAAACAGACATTCGAATTACAAGCCACAGCCAGGTGAAATTTGCAAATTAGGAATAAGAAAAGATAATGGGGACTATCAGGAGACTAAAATCGATTGTCATTTGATAACTAGTTTCATATTCGAGGAGGAAGCTAAGGCGCACAGTGTGGCTCCGAATTCAACTATCACCACAACTACTGTAACGAACGTAACGATAATGAACACAACGAATTTAGTTCCAGATGTGACGCATTCTCCATCGGTTCCAGAACATTCCTACCCACTTTTCACTATGTTACCTAATGGTACATTAGTGCCGGTCAATGCCACAATGATGAATGCAACCAATGCCACGACAGTGAATAATACAGTTAATACCAACAACAGTTCATCAGGGGGCAACGTGATTACGTCATCCGTGACGTCAGTAACCACAACAAACACAACGGTGACGGACGCGCTGGATGTGAAAGGGAAACCTATCGATGTTACCCCCGGTATGAAATGCTATGTGATACGGAATTCCCCAACGTCGAACATGCGACGTAGCATTCCATGCGGCTTGTTACAGACATACGCTGACCAGTCTCTTCGCCGTAACTCTGCCTCGAGACATATACCGTCCATCACTATTCTAAGTATTGTTTTTGCTGCAGTCGTTTTGTATTAATGTTATGTGTGATTTTTTTTTTGTTATGCAACTGGCAGCATTGGACATTTAATATCATAATATTTGTTTAAAAGTAGGTACTTATACCAGTCGAATTGTTACCGTCAAGGTTAAGACTAGTTTTTATGCAACTTTAAAACCACAGAGATATTTAATTATTATTTTATTATGATTTATATAACCCTATTACGTATATTTATTAGTTTTAGAATATCAATCAATCATTATATTAGAGAGAAGAGACAACAAAATAATAGCAAATATGTTTGATTCATCTTAAATGCGGGTCTTTTATCTATGTTGTTATATGCGATAGTATGAAAAAGTAAGTATTTTCTTAATTAAACTTTATTTATCATCATTTTGTTTAAATGCCCTTAAATGATCTTCAGTATATTTTACAAACGAGGTGGGACTTGGTGACGTATAGAACACCGCATTTGTTAAATACATTTATAATATTTATATTTATATACATACTTTGATATTTTAACCCTACTTCTAATCCTCGCTGTCTCGTGTATTACTATTCTCTTACTATTGTGTGTGTAAACTGGACGTGAAAGTGAAGTGTTAATGGTACCTGCTTAAGTTTCTCTGCTTAGCTCGTGGTTGACTGGTAGAGAATGGCTAAAGGCATTAAGTCCGCTAATCGTGCATTTTATGAGCAATAAATTTTTTAAATAAATAAATAAATTTATTAGCCACCAGTCCCACACAAACTAGGGTTCATTACTTTTATAGTTTAACCAGTTTGTCATCATAAATTTTGTACCTGTTTGCGACGAGAAAATAAATATATTCTATTCTATTATATAAAATATAAACTGCTAATAAAGTATTTTGGAAATATTAAGTTCGAATGATCAAGACAAAGTAAATGAGTAAAAACACTTAAATACTTTTAGCTCACGAGAACAAAGCACTTGTAGAGCGATCGTTAAACCTGAGTCGTTTAGGTTTTTGTTCTTGGAATTTCCACTTCTAACATCTTTGTAAAAGTTAAGATGCTATCATAAATCGCTTTTCCGTACTATAATTTTTTTACTTCTTACTGTTTTGCGGCGGTGTAAGAAATACCATTACCACATGTCCCGTGGGCGTCTAATAGACGGAAGCAAACCAGGAGGTAGGCCTTAGTGTCTTTCTTGTAACAACTAAAACATAGAAAACTACGATTACCATCCCGCCACCGCCAGCCAAACGTGCAGCAGTCACCGTTATGTCCGACTGTGTAAGGGGAGGCCTATTTTCAGCAGTGGACTTTAATATGTTGTAATAGATGGATTGATGACTTCTTACTACTTTCAAAACTACTACTACTATTATTACTACTATACTATTACTACTACTTTCAAATAAAGGGCAAGTCGGGCATAGATAACTATTGTCACATAGAACTGGTGCTGCAAAATGTAACCTGGTAGCGTTGGACTCGGTAGAGAGGCTTGCTTATAAGTAACCTTGATCTGGTTAAAATCAATCTTGTCAGTCTCGAGTACAGGCGCAGAGTAGCCAACCCCGGCTTGGTATTCCTTAAGATCACTGACCTCTATATATAAAAGCTTAAGATGCATTTTAGCGTGTGTTGGAAATTCCACTATCGGACAACCAAGCGATTTTGCTTCGTCTAACTATCGTAATAGGTTAGCGAAACAATTTAACGGCGTCTGTCCTTCAGTTCGATTACAATGTCGGTGTCTAAAAGTGAATAGGCGTTTGATGCGCTGAGACAATCTGATTTACCATTTGGCGCTTCGTCACCACTTACCATCAGGTGGGATTGCGTCAATCACTGGCGTGTATTAATTAAAATAATTACACCATTTGAAAAAAATACCAAAGAATTAAATACTTAACTTCTCATAAACGTAATGTCGTAGATACGATAATGTAAATCCTGTTATAGGTAATAAGTAAATAAAGTACATGTAGCTACAACTTGAAACCTTCGTATTATATAAACGTATAAATACCACTGTATAATGTAATTAAATATGTACAACTAAAAGATAGTGAAGTATTTTTAAGATTCGCTAAGTATTTCATTCACAAAATAAATACGAGTATCATTACAATCTATTTTGAGTTCACTTCTGAACGTAAACGTTTCGTAGAAAGTGCTACTGGGCACATCTGTCATCAACCTCCGACAACTGTAAATGTATCATTTCGCTTTCACATCACAGGTATAATAATATGACAAAAATGTAACGGAACGAAGCGATACAAACTTGTTTGGTCGGCGGATATTTTGTATTTATTGTATCGGATCATTCGCAAAAAGTGGCGGGGGCCATGTGAACAAAAAATAATGTGCTCCCGACAGAATTTCGATCACCGCGGTCAGCCTTAGACTAACCAGCTGCGCAGGACAGGATGATCAATGCCTGATGAGTGTATGCGCAAGCACAGCTGCACTCTCTATTCCGTCACTCTCATAGTTCGATGGAACGGCACACCAACACGACCGGAGAAACATCAGGTGCAGGACCAACTGCTTTACTTGCTTCCCGAGGCACGGGGATAACAGATTCTTCGACCCAACCTCCAACCCTCATGATCATTCATATCCGAAGCCATGTAATTTGTTGATACAAGACCAGCTTGTAGCACGATGATTCTCTATAGAAATATTACCAAGGACTAACATCTAACTAAGCCGGTGCTGCAGCGTAATATTGTAGCTGCTATGACTTTTTCATTAGATTATTAACCGAGTAGTGGCAGTGCAAGCATACCCACTACCCCATATCATCCCGTGGGTGTCGTTATAAAAGACAGAGATAAACTGAAACAGAACGTGAGCAGCTGGATCTTTCTGATATCAACAAAAAATTATAAAAAACTGTGTTTGTCGATCCGCCTGCAAAACGTGGTAGCTGGCAAAATACTTTTTTACAGCATTGGGTGACAAAAGAGCACACAGTCCACCTGATGGTAAGTGGATGCTGTGCCCCATAGACATCCACATTTATCCTCAATTAAGAATCAAAATGCATATGCATTGTCTTCCCTAAGAACTAAGATGGAATGCCTCGATTCCAGTAATAAAAGTACCTCCGGCTCTCTACACTCGCCATGCGAAACAAGCATGCAGCATTACACTGCTATTTTACGCTGGTATTCTGTGAGAGCGTGATCCTGCCCCGGTCGAGGCGACTCATTCATACTACAACTATAATATAGCTGCAGCGTGGCTCTACAATGGGGGAGATTCCCTCGATATATGGGGGAGACCTATGTTCAACAGTAAACTTTTTAGGCTATAGATTCACATATTAGAGGTTAAGGAAATATATACGGTCTGAGTGATGTCTGTCTGAGCGTGTAACGTGGTAGTACGTTGTGCATGACAAACTCACGCACGGTTTTCCTGCCTTGACAGTTGACAGCCACATGAGTAGTTTGCTACTCGGGCCCAGTAGTTGGGCGACCGAGGCAAGGTGTTATTGCGGGCCGTTTGGAATATATTTAAGCCGCCGCTAATCACGACACAGTAATGTGATTTTTGAGTTATTGATGATATAAGGTGTCTTGACTAGTTTCGAGGCGAAACTTTCGTCTATTATGTTGTATTTTTACAAATTTTCAAATATACTACTTAGATTCATCAACAACTTTTTCTGCATTGTTTTGTGAATTAACATAGATAATACTTTAGAAACTGATAAACTTTTATTTAAAACTAACTTCTCACTTAAATGACACTGTGTAAAAAAATTTACCTTTTTCTCAACTGGTTCTTGGGTTTTGGTGATGTGTTGTTTTTGTTTTCTACGATGTTTATTTCATTGGTAGAATGTACAATATGCGTTCAGTGTTCATACAGGCGGTTGTCTATTTATGTGTGGCATATTTTTCACGGTTGACGTCGTGCTAATAATTGCTGTGGGTACCTACAACAACTAAACGCGCCACATTGAAAAACAGCGGCTGTGGTTCGCCACATCAAATGAGTGCGAATGTTGTCACAAAACTAAGAAAACATTATTTACAATATGGCGTTGTGATGATGTGGCCAAATAAATATTTTCTTCCTTTTCTTTAAAAGTCTGTTTGACATAAAAATAAAAATTAATTCTACCAAACATCTATGAATATAACGTAACGTTAATTCTACTTAACAGCTATGCTAATTTGTATGTCGTATGAAGTGTAGTATAATTATTGATATTTAAAAATATACAGGAATCATAAAAAACCGGACAAATGCGAATAGGTCTCGCGCTAGAAGTTGTTCTGTATAAACTTAATAATATTCTCCATCCCGGGAATTATAGCTAAGGTAATATATAGATGTGGTAGAGCCGCTTTGCAGTTATATATTATGGTTGTAGCACGAATGGGTCGGCTCGACTGGGAAAGAACCACGCTCTCACAGAATACCAGCGTAAAATAGCAGCGCTGCTGTTTCGTATGGTGAGTGTAAAGATCCGGAGACCTGTTTTTACTGGAAACGAAGCGTTTCAGGTTAGTCCTCAGGGGTGACAACGTATCTGCGTTTTGATTATTAACCGAAAGTAAATGTAGATATCTATGTACAACAGCGTCCACATACCATCAAGTGGACAGTGTGCTCGTTTGTCACCCCTATTCTATTAAAAAAAAAACGAAAATTACCGAGAAGATAAACGGATTTGCGGGTAAACTTTGCAGTGAAAAAAATGTTCTCTCTTACATTGTTCTACATGGCGAGCGATATTGCAACTGGAAAACAAAATTTGTTATCTTAAAAAACCTAATTTTGTGATATAAACATGAATGACGGATTTTCGGAATGTTCCTTTATTTGTGCTTTGAGATTGTGCTTCTTTCCAAATTTCT